ACAGTCATAGACTTGGCATTATGGACAGTGAAGGTGTGATACGGGCACATGGTTCAAGTGACAAAGGAGCAATAGCACAACTGTTCAGCAGACAGTTGGTCAAAGGAGTGACTTTACTTGTCTCTTTGGCCAGTTGTAATGTTGTGGTAAGAATGGAAAGACTCATTGACGATGTCGACAAACGTCTGCAAATGTACCAAGTTCACGGTCCGACTCTGGAAACTACCAAGCGTACTATGCACTCCAGACAAGAGGCATTCCTCTACGTCTCCCTGACATTATGACTAAATCGCGAAAAACAGTTCAATTCGGTTTTATGCAACGAAAGTCGACACCATCTTGGGCTTCATACAATCGCACTTCTTTGCTTTATTAACAATCCAACCGCTGAATTTGATATAGAAATTGCCTAGCCTTTTTTAAAATTCATTTTTGTCCTTAGTCCTGAGGGAATTCGTGACAGTTTGACGTAATGGTTAAACTGACGAATCTCTTCGTCGCAATAAGGCAACCAAGGTTCGAGTCCCGCTGGGGGTACTGGCGAAGCCAGGTCTACTCCTGCCTGGGTAAGGATAATTTTTGAAAAGCAAGACTATGCGGGATTCAATGTAAACATAAGGTCTATTTATATAATTGTGAGAAAAATCCAACTATCAGTCTTTTATTATCTTTATGAAATAGGGCGAATTGATCTCAAATATGTGATCTATTGGTTGTCTCCAGAACTGAATCTTTTTCTAGGTGTATGCATGCAGACTTAAATAGCGAATAGAAAAGTTTTCTTGGCCATTTACTAGTCTCTTCTATGTGCCAGCAGCAAAATAAACTAGGAAGTAAATTAATAATAATGACAATCCAGGCAAATAATAAAGCGAACTATATAACGACTAAATTATATTATTAGTATTATTCAAATATTACTATACATTTTTCATAATGCAATAACCCAGCCCATCTCTTTCGCGCTTCACTGTTCATGAAAGATGTGGGTTCGAATCTCCCGCCTGCTTCAACCAACTATTCGCTAGGTTCTAGCTACTACCGTCATCCAGCAACTTGCTATTTGTCCCTCAGTTCAGCCCCATACCTTCGTCTTTCCGCCCTAAGGGGAGAGAGAAAACTTTCCCGCTTCAATTGGCTGGATCACAGACAGTTTTTAGTGCCATTCCTCGACTTAATTTGGTCAATTGAGTTTAGTTTGACCAGAAGATGAGTTGTTGGCTTAAACTTCCGTATTCCAGATAATTCGGTTTGGCGCAGACCTTTCAGACCCGGGAGTATTTTAATCAAATTTGCTCTTTTTACTTGCGACAAATTATACAGGACTTTTACAAAAAGACATTCATTTTCGCTTTCCTTTTTCCACAAATGTGGCAGTACCACCTGAGAATGTCGTAGAAATTTGCAAATAAACCGGTCATCAAATTTGCGTTTTGGCATATGCCCTTCTCGATAAGAACACACGCAGCCCTCAACTTTAAATAATAAAAAGAATATTCCATTTATATTGAATAAATATTAGTATAAATACAAATATATAATATGGTAATGACTCCGTCCAACTATTTCTTACTAAACCACTATGAAAATGCATTGGCTCGAATCTCGTCTCTGCCACTCGTACCATACTTTTGATAATCAAGTTAGAAGATTAGTGTAAAATACATAATATCTGATATTCCATGGGGTCACTATTAAACTTCTTTTCCTCGCTTGTCTGTTGATGCAGCAAGCGCCTTCTACAAACTGACAAGAGGGCTTTGCTCGCAGGCCCTGGATTCGAGGGACGAAGCTCCTGCTCCTCTGTCGGAGATTCGGCT